GCAGACAACAGCCGCTCTATCACGTGACAGATACTGCTCCGATGCGCTGAGCTGAGTTACGCCAAGTAGCACGTTTTGTGAGGTGATTTTGTGATACTTCGGATCAGATTACATTTTTTATTTTTCTCCGATATCCGATCCAGTAATTTAGGTCAGTATCGGACCGATACCAATACGTAATATCGGATCAGTCCATCTCTAGTACATGGTAAAGGCTTTAAATGTTCTTCCATTATGTAGTTACTCATTTTTAATGTTGTGTCCCAGTGTCATTCGTACATTTCCCCAAATCAACATGAATTCAACTGAATGTGTTTAAAATATGCGCTGAATGTGTGCCTGTTTGTTTCTGCAGGTACCTATCTAAGAGGCAGCACCACTGAGGAGGGACTATATTATCAGCGCAAAGACTTGGAGTGGATGCAACCAATGCATCATCCGCTTGTCAAACACAAGAACAAACATAAAGTCCTTCATACCAAACCTCACTAAAAGTCCAACACTAACCCTACAATTACACACAAGGTCAAAACCTCAGGACTGAGACGGGCTTCCCAGTTTATATATCTGCATGTTCTCTGCCTTCTCTTAGTCTGGAACATTTGTTTGTTCAAATATTGTTTACAGTTACTATCAGTGTGCAAGGTGCATTGTGGGAAAAAAAATCCTGTTTGAAACCACACTGATTTAATGTCACAGACTCCAGCTCACCTGTTTACTCATGGTGGTCAACAAGGGTTTAATATAGATAACTGAGGTCCACTATTTCCTGAAAGTAGTCGAGATCTTTTACGCCTGCTTGGTATTTTAGATGGGTGAATAGTAGCAGATGTGTTAAGTTGATTACCAGTAAAAAATACTTTATCAAGCCTCTCTGCTGTACCAAGTGAGTAGGAGAAGATACAAATCTAATTTCATTATGGTTAAGGTCAGTAGCCTGCCTTCAAAGAGACTGACCGCAAAAAGCTAAAGAGCGAAAAGAAACAAATAAGCAAAATGAAGTTACATGTGTTTTCAGTATGCGAGGATATCCTGGTAATTTAACGTGTTTTTTTATGTAGTATTTGGATTGTCTGTTTGATTTGTAATAAATGAAGTGAAAAGTTGGAAGTGGAACGTCTGGAAGTTTTGTGAGCGTCAAACAAATAACAGCAGCCTGCACATGCAGACGTATGCAGCAATTCTAAAAACTACTGAGAGACCAAAATCTGTTGGTCTTAGAACTGGCTAGCTAAAATATTTCATCAAAACAGTGGCTTTAGTGAACAAGTGTGACACCATTTGTTACGTGTCTGTAGGTGGTCACTACAAACAGGCCTGTTTTTTGTTATTTACATTCTGTACATGCATATTACAGTCAGGCTTCCATGGCTGGATATTCATGTGCATACATGTCCAGAAACGTATTCATGTTTTTCTGTGCATGCTGATTCTGTTACGTCACAGGACGCAACACTCGAACGGACATAAAGCATAGGTTTTATTTCGTTGATGCTCGTGAGATCGTGACAGCTCTTCATTGAAATGTTTCTGGAACATCCATATGTCAATGAACCAACTAAAGGTGATGAGAATACAAGAACTGGATAGCACATTTTTTTAATTGTGTGTTTTGTTTTTTTCTCTTTTGTAACTAAAGTGGGTTTTTACACATTTCACTACTTATTAAGGTGGGCCTCATTTTATGAAGCTGAAGCTCTGGAAACATAAGCTATATGATATGTCAAGCAGTCCCTGGAAATTCAGTTTCTTTTCATTTCTTGAGCTCTGCCTTTTTTGTGTGTTTTCTTCATTTCATCGACAAAATTGTGGCTGTAAATAGGAAAATAAACCTTTTTTTGTACCTCGCTTGCTTGTACTGTTCTACATTCCCGAGGTAGTTAAAAACGAGTTAATCTTTTACAGTTAGAAACATTTCATTACTTCCTGTTCATAACTTGTACACCATGAACACCATAAAAGATTAATTCATTGAACAAAGAACATAGACACTAACGACGCCTCCCAAAACACCATGGTTTCTAGTGCCTCCCCTTCATTTAAATAGTAAATGGCCTGTATTTATATAGCGCTTTACTAGTCCATAAGGACCCCAAATCGCTTTACACATCCAGTCATCCACCCATTCACACACACATTCACACACTGGTGATGGCAAGCTACATTGTAGCCACAGCCACCCTGGGGCGCACTGACAGAGGCGAGGCTGCCGGACACTGGCGCCACCAGGCCCTCTGACCACCACCAGTAGGCAATGGGTGAAGTGTAGGGATGGGTATCGTTTAGGTTTTATCCGATACCGGCGCCAAATCGGTACTTTTGAAACGGTGCCGGTGCTCAAACGGTGCTCAAACCGGTGCTTAAAGAATGGAGAACACAAAATTGGTCCAAAAACCTCTCATGTTCAGCTGTTTTTTTTTTTTTTGTAAAAAGATAACAATGTTAGCCTTTTCTGCAGCTATGGGGCATATATGGTATCACTCTTGGCTGGAAGCAGTGCTTAAACAATGGAAAAAACACAAACTTTGTCCAAAAACCTCTCATGTTTAACTGTTTTCCACTTTTTCTTTGGTCATTTTAGCCTTTTTGGCCAGGGTGAAGGGAGTATCTGCCATCAAACAAGAAGACAGCCGCATGTAGCTATGATGGTGTTTGCTAGTTCACCTTACATGCATTAATGTAATAACGTGGTTAGCCTACTCAACGTAAATCACACAAGAACAACATTAGGCTACTCACGCAGAGAAGAACGGCTGCTGCTGCCATCAAATACAGCGCATTTCTCGGCTTTTAAAAAAAACGCTATGCGTCGCCAGGTGTTTCATCGGATTTGAGGTGTTACCTCCTTTGACAGTATCACAGTATCAGCTTAAAGCACTTGTTGCAGGCTGCTGAGTTTCTTTTGCTGGAAATACAGCCAGACTTTTAACCGCTTCGCCTTGGACATTTTTAATCTGTAGCTCTGCTCTAACAGAACGTACGTACCTGGCCCCGCCTACTATCATCGGAAACGTAAAACGATTGGCTAAAAGTGTATCACAGCTCAGGAAAAAAAAGCACCGAAATAAAGCACCGAAATGTGCGCTGCTTTTCGGTCTGGTTACTACCGTTTATGTCAGAACCGGTGCCATCATGGCACCGGACATCGGTACCCATCCCTAGTGAAGTGTCTTGCCCAAGGACACAACGACCGAGACTGTTCAAGCCGGGGCTCGAAGCGGCAACCTTCCGATTACAAGGCGAACTCCCAACTCTTGAGCCACGATCGCCCCCTAATGTCATAAATATTTTTTCAGTATTATTACTGGCTATTATTTTCCTACTGTTGTCATTGTTATTACCTATTTTTGTCTCGCGTAGCCACATGATGAGTGAATACACATGCAACTCGCACAATATCAGAATATAAAATATGCAAATATGTACAAGTACTTTAGTTTTATGATTTTGTGTTTTTTCTAGTTTGTCAGTGCATTTTTCATCTTTTGTATGTTCTGCACTCAAAATAAACTCGTCATTACTATAGATAACCCATGGGTTTCAAATACATTTTGAGATGCCCTGTTATAAAATGAAAGAAAATACAATAAACTGACATGTTCATTAATTTATTATAAAATGTTGAGAAACATTCTGAACAGATATAAATAAGTTAAAAAGGGCATGAAGGAAATACTAATTCATTTCAATCACAGTACAAATCATTATTGTAACATTGTTCTGTAGTTCCACAGACATAACGAATGGGGATGAAGAGGGATGAATAAATACTGTACAGGTATACATTCACTCCTGAAGCACAGCTTCATATGTTGTGCATCACTTGAAAAAATGTATTAGACCATTTTTTTTCCTTCTGAATTACAATATTTTTAAAAACTGTTTTCCTCTTTCTGGTGCGGCAGCAGAGTCCAGCGGCTAACGCTTAGCATGCCACGTTATGTTTGTTCACTCTGTTGGTAAAAAGAACAAAACAGTACAGATTGGATCAGTCAGTATACAGTGATTTGTAAATAGTGTGAATCCTTGCACAGGAACAGAATTAGCAAAAAATAAATAAATAAAAATCAATACACTTACGTGCACTGACTCCAGTGGCTCCATGGCCCTCTGGTGAACTTGTCCTGAGCTCGCACACAGAAAACATACTTCTTGGTCTTAACGCCAACCTCGTATTTGGTTGTATCAGTGGTGATATTCTGCACAAAGAAGAGGCGACTTAATAAAGACAAAGAAACCTCGACTAAACTGGACATCAGCAAAGAGATATGAATCTGGTGTATAGATGTACGTGTATTAATTACAATTATTTGATTGTCACTGTTGCAGGGATGTCCACTGTGCACCAGCTTGACCTCAAACTGTAGGCCAAAGAAGCTGCAGGGTTTCTCCCAAGTATCAGGGTAGTCCCAGCTGAACACCTTCCCATCACTGATGTGCAGGTTAGGGAGTTTTGACGGTCTCACTTTATTGAGTTGGGAGGGAGAGAAATGAGGTGGGCAAAGGTTAAAAAAGAAAGAGAATGGAGAGAGGAAATCACGGCACGATGACTAAGAAAGTTACTTTTCATACGCTAAAATACACAAAAACAAACTTACCGATTTCTCTCAGGTAGAAAGACTTTGTGTAGGTCTCCAAACGAGCATGGCTGCGTATGTAAACGGTGAAGGAAATGCGATGTTGCTCCTCTTTGTATGGGCAGTGGGCATCCTGGCAGCGAACCCCTGATGCATCAGCATCCAGCTCACAGGGGATATCTTCGGTAAAACTGGAATATAAATATAAGTTGATGTTAAAATAATATCTAGAGCACCTCCTCCACACCAGCACCCAACCAACGTATGCTATGCATTGTCTTTGTCCTTACCGTTCAGCCTTAACCAAAACCACACTGGCATCAGATCTGAGCGCTGTTCTTTTCCAGGAGCAGTGAAAGAATCCTGTATAGTTTGGTGCCGAGCAGTGGATGTGACCTGGAGCAACAGAATTACTGTCAGTCCCCTCCCTCTCTTTTGTTTAATGTTCTTATGAACAGTGTAGCTTACACTTGTAGTGTTTCATTGTTCTTCTAGATCCCATCGAGTAAACACAAATAAATCACTCAGGGCATTGATATAATTGCTGTAAACGAGAAAAAAAGCTTTGTAGCTGCCTCTTCAACTTTAAGGTTTTGTTCCATCACAGGAAAACATTGCCTCATAGCACAAAACTGCAGAAACTTAATGTTTGAGATTTACAAAGCTGAAACCTTATGGAGAAACATGAGCACTAACAATGTGATGATGGGCCTAATATAAAGCCTGCTCACTGTGTTGTTCTTTTCCCTCATCTTCTCTATTAAAATTCCTTTGACACTACTAATGGTGATCCTTTGATCCAGTTTCTGTTTTCTGCTCTGGAACCCCACCCTTACACCCTTTCCCTATTTTTTTTTCTTATCCTAAATCCCTATCTGACCATCATCTTAGCTGTTCAGTCCCATCAATACCATTTCTTCTTCAGAGAAAGCCTGAGGCTAAATCCAGTCAAAGAAAATCTGCTCTTTGCCCTTTTCCCTTCATGCATGCCTTCTTTGTTCTCCCTCCCCTACTCGTTTCACTTCTTTCTTTGCCTTTGCTCCTTTCCTTCCTTCTTTCTTTTTTTTTCAACTTACCTCCTTCTCTGTTTTCCAATATGACTGTCCTGTTGTCTGGATTAAGCTGGATTAAGATCATAGTGTGGTTCAGGTATTCTCCACTTGGACTGAGGTGGCAAGTGTAGTTCCCTCCTTTCATCTCCTCCACCAGGACCTGGACTTGGTTCCCCTGCAGAGGAGGATTGAGCTCCTGACCTGAGACACGGACATGTTCATTGTTACAATGTGGTCATAAAAAGCCATAAAGAGACAAAGGGGAAAGTTTGACGTCTGGATAAACAAAAGCTTGATGAGCTATAGAGCAAACAAACAAAAGAAACTTCTTGTGACTTTGACTTTTTCTTTACATAAGTAAAATTAATTGAATTAAAAGCTGCGTTACCATTTTTCTTCCAAAACACAGGCTTATTCTGAAAAGCTTCTCCGCAGGTCAAAGGAACGTGAACCATGCTACCCGTAAAAGAGGGCACCCTCAGGACCACAACTAGGTAAAGCATAAAAATAGATTTTACTGTTGGTGAAATAAAAACAAAAATGAAAACATGGAGGAATATTCAAAGACAAGGAGATACCATTATCCATGAGTGTCTCGACATCTGCTTGCTGGGTGTCAGAGCTGGCGCCACTCAGTATAGCCCACACAACCATGAGCAAAAATGTATGCATCTGTAACAAAAGAAAGGAAGTGATGGGACTCTTTTACATAAACAAATAAAAATATTTCTTTTTAAACCTTGAAAAAAGTGAAATACTCAAGTACAAAATTAACCCTTTAAATCAAAGCAGTGATAACTAAAATAAAATAACAACAAAAGAATTGTGAACTTGGAAAACTAATTAAAATCAAATAAAATTACAGAGAAAATATCCTTAGTTTAACTATCTGTTAGTTTAGTAAAAATTAAAAAAATAAATCTAATAAAATTTTTTTAGAAGATATCAAATGAAATAGTATATAAAATAAAAAAAATCAGATAGTTCCTCCTAAAACCTTTTTGACCCTTCAAAGGATGAGAACTCAAATTTGGGAACCAGTACAACAGCATTTTCAAAGTGTTTTCAATTATATAAGAAGTTTTAAACATACTTCAAGATACCTAAATTTTTGATTTTTACATAACCAAAAGTGAGCAGATTATTCCTCCTCCTGAATATCTGTGACAATCAGATGGAATATAATAGATCTTACCCTGCAAAACTTGATCCACAATTTCACACTGGAACCAGATGCAGTAAGCAGTGTTTGTCTGTGTAAAGGCAGCAGCTGCAGCTGCATTTATACGTCAGGCTGAGAAATCCCCACTCAAAAGAGGAACTCTTTAATACCTGACCAATGATGACGATGACAATGGACCACACTGCACATGAAAGGAAATTTAATGAATGATCAAAATAAATGGATTACCACTAGCTTTCCACCCGGCTCTCCTCTTTTGTTAAGCTTGATTAATTTAGCTGTGTTGAAGACGACAATTCATTCGGTACAAAATCCATGCTGTAATCTGATGATTGTGTGATCACACTAACCACTTTGGGGGGGAAGTAAAGCCAACTAATGATACAGAAACTTCTGTAAAACAGAACTGCAACCCCTAAAATGTTTAAATATGGTTATACGCCACTGAAAGTGGAGCAGGTAATCTAGAAAGCCGTCATGGGACTTCTAAAGAAGAACAAGAAAAAGGACGCTTCCACAGAATGCGTCAAGAGAACACAATCATCAGGAACGAAATAAAGGAGAAAACCCAGATTATAAACAAAACAAAAAAACAAAACAGGATTATCTGAATGAGTTTTGTAAACGCAATGACCAAATGGAAAAATCACTGTTGCATTTTCTTTCTTTTTTTTACGTATACATCTGGGAAGTTACCTGCAGAGCGTTTTCTTTCCAAAATAACCACTAACATTTAAGCATGCCTGTGTGGTTGCACCTGTAATGACAACTCATAGACCCTTTCCTATAAATACACATAGGTATAGGGGTTTCTTTTGATTAACCTTTGTTTATTTAAAAAAAAAAAGGCAACAGATGACTCAAGGGGAGTGTGTTTTATGCTGTTTTGAAAGGAAATGCAATTTCCTTGCTTGGACCCTCACTTCAATTAAGTAAAAGGTTTTTCCCCACCACTATCCTATTTCGTATTCTATGGGGACTGAAAATGTCATATCATACTAACCTTACACCACATCCACTTCCCTGTGTGTGTGTGTGTGTGTGTGCACGGTGCGACTTTTCTCAATATTAAACAAGTGGCTTATCAACTCTTTAACTTCCTTTGTATTTTATAGGAATTGTGGAGAGGCAGCTGGCATTCCTTCCTCATACCAGCTGAATGATAGCAGGTATGTCTTTGTCAAGGTGGGAATGCCGCTTAGCAGCACTTCTTTCAAAATCAAATCCAATTAATCAATGCTTGCGTAATTGGGTTTTTCAAGAAAACTTCCAGTTTCTGTTAGGACTAAATGAATGGGCTTAAACAATGATGTTGAAATTATAGAGAAAAGAGACTACAGGAAAAACTTAGTGTGTATTATGCTGTTAAGTGTGCTGTATTATTCCTGTTAAAGAGACTAGACAGATAAAACAGATTAGATTATCATGGATATATCAGTGTCAGATCCTGAAATTATAATTTGATCTTTTGGGGAATCCTACATTTTAGTTTTTTAAAGATTGATAAGACACATTACTGAATTGTAATCACACAACAAAGGACAGAAACAGTCCCTCTTAAATTTAGGTGTTATCAGTCCCGCAGAGCATAAAACCATCAAGCCAAGCAGTCTGCCTTTACATTCGTGAAAAAATGAGTTGTTCTAATGAGCTAACTGGATTCAAGTGTGGCGCTGTGACAGGCTGCCACCTTTGTAACAAGTCAATTTGTGAAATTGCTTCCCCCAATCAGCTGGTATTATTGGAAAGTGGAAACATTTAGGAAGCACAGCAACTTAGCCGCAAAGTGGTTGACCACGTGAAATTACAGAGCATGTGGGGGATGTTGCTGAGGCACATGTGTGTGTAAGAGTCAGTAGTGCTCTGCTGTTATATTTGTAGATATGACTCAGAATTTGCAAAATTCCAAAAACACCAGCGGCATTAACATCAGCACAAAAACAATGCTCTAGGAGCTTATATTACATTATTATGGAGACCTCTTGTCTCTGCTAGCCAGCTAACTAGGCCTCTTAGTTCTTGTCTCTGCTAGCCAGCTAACTAGGCCTCTTAGTTCTTGTCTCTGCTAGCCAGCTAACTAGGCCTCTTAGTTAGCTAGTTTAGTGTTTTCTGTTAATTTATGTTGTAAATTTATGTTGCATGTAGCACCTTGGTTCCTGGAGGAACGTTGTTTCGCCTCACTGTGTACTGTTAAACTGTATATGGTTGAAGTGACAATAAAGCCAACTTGACTTGACTTGTGACTGAAGCCAGGAGGCGATTATTTTAGCCTGACATTTATAATGGAAATGGCTACAGCACCTGTCCAAAGGCCCAAACAAATTAGACAAGCCAAATGTTGTTGTTTTGACATTTTAAAACCCATTCTGAGGGTTTTGTTCAAATTAAAACTGATGCAAAATATTACACTTATAGGAGGTGATGTGTAAATTCAGTACTCAGGCTTAAAATGGTATTGAGGAGGTCACACAGCTCATTTTACCAAGTAAAAAGAAAGAAAGTTAATTTTTGCCCTTAGCCTTAACCTTTCCTTTCAATATTAGCCACAAAATACAAGATAATTTTTTCTTATTTGTAACTTTAAAATGACGCTATGTGCATGGGAATACACAAGGGGTGATAGTGGCTCAAGAGTTGGCAGTTCGTCTTGTAATTGGAAGGTTGCTGGCTCGAGCCCTGGCTCTGACAGTCTCGGTCGTTGTGTCCTTGCGAAAGACACTTCACCCGTTGCCTACTGGTGGTGGTCAGAGGGCCCGGTGGTGCCAGCGTTTGGCAGCCTCGCCTCTGTCAGTGCACCCCAGGGCGGCTGTGACTACAATGTAGCTTGCCATCACCAGTGTGTGAATGTGTGTGACTGAATGTAGTGTAAAGCGCTTTGGGGTCCTTACAAATACAGGCCATTTACACAATACTATGCAATCTACAAACAATTACATTGTGAGACCATTTGACGTGTAATATTTGTAATGTATTAAGCAAAGAAAATGAGTGAGGAAGTCACCTTAATTAAAACACAAGAAGTGGAAAAACTAAGCAAGTCATAAACCTTATTAAAAGGCAATCCCAGAGTTGTAGCAAGTGTAAGTATTGTGGCATATCAGTCCAGTATGTCCCAAGTCTTCATCGAAATATGAAATTCTGAAAGAGAGATCGAAGAAAACAAACAATGACTAGTTTTCATTAAAAACATTATTTAATCAAAATATGCAACTGTGTTTCTGATGTCCATCATTTTCACCACATGAATGAGTGGTGGTTGTGTCCTGATCATATATGAACATCCGCACACGCACACACACTTATTCACACGCACTCTCACGCACAGGCTGACTACTTATAACATGATTAATCTGATTGTTCAGTGAAGCAGAGTGAAATAAAGAATATGATCCAGCAGCAGCAGCTTGGTAAAGCATCCAGTCATGTCCTCTGAGTGCCTCAAGAGGGAGAACACATCTGCTTGCTAACCAACTACACCAAACTTCCTTTATGGCTGTTTGTATACCGACTTTATCCCCTGACGCAAGCATTCTTGACTGATTTACTATCATGTATTTAAATGAAGAATTTCTGAATAACTCTCAGTACTGTTAAGTGTCTTTTTGAAATGTCTAAATTGAAAACATATGCTGTGAAAGTACACGTGTAACCCTGTCGCCTTATACGAAGAATTCTCTGTGCTGAACCAGCTTTGCCAAAGAGCAGAACTTGAATGGAAACTGAAACACAGAAACATTCAAATATCAGTGTTGCTAAGAAAACCCATTTTAGCCATCTGACAAAGTTCTCTTTTTGCTGTTTGGTTTCCATAGGAACAGTTAAAAAGACTTCAAAAAAGGTCAAAATTTCAATGTGTAAAAACCAAAAGGATTAGTCTTTTCTCAATCCAAGAGTCCTTATGCTCCAGCAGATGCCTAATATCAGCCCAAACAAAGTTCTCAGCAAAAAATGTCTGAGAAGAGAAAAGAGAAGAGAAGAGAAATCAGCTTCTTTTGTGTCCCTTGTTATCCTCCAACTTTTATACTATCACATCACTGGTATGCCCCGTTCCAGGCTGCCAGTTTGGGAGCATCAATCCTCCTCCGGCGTGGGCTCTTGTGGCAGTGCGGCTACTTCTTCTGCTGCCACTGGCCCTGATGTTTCTGGTGTAGTTTCAGGCTCTGGTGGTGGTCGCTGGCTGAGGATGACCTGCACTACATAGTCTCTTGAGATGTTGAGTTGGTCCAAGCGCAGTCTGTCTGTCAGGGGCCGCCCTGAGAAAAACCAGCGTTGCGTTGCGGCAGGCACGCCCTCCTGACTTTGTAGACGCCGCTTCATTATGCCTACTGTGTCCGTGGAACGGACTGCCAGCCGGAGGTCGCGACCCGTGGAGAGGCGAAGCCGAAGCTGGCATTCCCCTCCTGTGCCAGGATCACCGGCGCTGCCCAAGGACGGGTCGGTGGTTCCGGAGTCAGGATCTGAACCGTCGGGCTCATCGGAGCGTTCCTCGATCATGTTGACGGGGGGAGAGAGGCAGTAGACTGGCAGCTGGTATCGATTCCCCAATTCATCGTAGCATTCGGTTAGAGCTCCTGGAAGAACGGAGAATATTACCAATTAATTCAATATATTAAAAAATAAAATAAAATCTAAATATTAATTTGGTTAATAAATCAAATGAAAGCTACAGATTATGGTTTGCAGGAATTGCCACTGTCAAGAAATCACATTACAATATAAACAGAAGTGTAAGAGCTCGGTAAATGATTAACTCGGAGCTTCCAATGCAGAGCCATAAAACACTAAAGTGAACAGGAGGGTCATTTCTAATTTTTCCTTTTCGTAACTCTTCATGGACTACTTGTCTAAACAAAAAAGTTCTAATATATAGATATATATACCTTGCTGTGCATGAGATGGAATACTTTCTGTTTAAAGAAATCTATTAGTCATTTGTAATAAAGTGAAAGTTAAAACATATTTTTTCCCATTCAACAAAGCCAAAACCTGAACTATGCTTCATAATACCCTGGATTGATATGAAATGGAGAAATGAGAGTCATACAAATAGAAAATAAAGATTGTAGGGGGACAGACTGTGGAAGCAGGAGAAAAGGGAAAGTCTCATCTTGGACTAAAAGATAACGAAACATTATGTCATTTCTGTGATTCAGACTCTGACAATAAAGAGTTGGTGGACAGAAAGTGGGAATTATAGCATACTGAAGAGGTTGTGTCCACGAGTAAAAATGTAAGCCATTCTGTTCACGAGGGGGATTCCTGACAGATACATACCCTGCAAAATAATTCAAAGTGACTACTTTTCATACCAAAAAACTAAAAGGTCATATTTATTGTGGATTAACAAAAACAGAAGATTCAGTTGATGATGACATCCAAAAAGATGAAAAACTCTCCCCACAAAAGTGAGAAGACCGCCTGACCACAGTTTCTTCTAAATGACATTTTCAAAAAAAAAAAAAAAAAAAAAAAGGTCACCTTGCTGCTGTTGCGCTGTTTTATGACTTAAACCGAAGCACGATCCACCCGAGAGTAGCAGTGAGTTTTCCTGTAACCAAGACCGAGATGAGTTAGCAGAAGCCCAGAAAAGTTCTCGCTACTCTCTAGATGACGACAACTTTGGCCTCGGTGAGGACATGAAAGTAACTCTTGCCTTCAAGAAAAGTGCAGAGTTCATGTAATTGTGAAGGAATAAGGTGGCAAAAAGGCTGGTTTCTGGCACGTGTAGCCCACTGCGTAGCAGCAATCACCAAAAACCACCACAAAACGAAAGTGCAGCAATTATTTCAACCACAACCACACTATTATATATTGTGCAGGAGTCTACATAAATAATTGGAGAGCATGTTTAAATATTTTATAGCTCTCTGCTTTTATCAGGTACATAAAATAAATATAAATTTGAGCAAATAAATCTACAGTTGAGCTGTCCTACCTCCGATATTTCAGCACACCAACTAAACAGTTGTTTATTTAGGCTCCTTCTATGTGGGATAACAGAGAGCACACAATATGAAGAAGTAGTGATAGCCAGCATCACAAAAGGCTAAGATAAATATTAGTTTTAACATGGCTCAATGAAAATGTATAAACATGATCTGGAAAGGATCTTCCTTTGATTTTTTCCCCTTCAACAGCTATTTATTTTTCAGCTGCAGAACACCAATGTATCCCAGATGGTACTGATGCTTTTGGTTGTGGCATTTCATCAAAACAAAAACAAATTCCACCCACAAGGTGGAATTAGCCTTGTACCAAATTTTAAAGAATAAATCTTATGACAAAAGCAAAGAAACATGTTGTTGAAGTGCTTGCTGTGCTGCATATCCCCCCCAACACGTTTTGAATTTTAAAGCATGAAAATATAAGTGATGTGAATCCGTAAATCCTTCCATCCTTACAAGGATATTCAAAACTGCGTGGGAATTTGCCCAACCAGCCTACATGCATTTTATGGACTTGGAAAAAATCAAATGACCGCATCCCTCGGGATGTCGTTTGAGGGGTGCTTTGGGAGTATGCGGTATTAGCCCATTATTATGGGCTATTCGGCCTGCCAAGTGTGGTAAGAGCTTGGTTTGTGTTACCCACGGTAAATCAGACTGGATCCTGAGCTGGAATCTACCAAGGTTGCCCTTTGTTAAAGAGTCTATTCATAACTTTGATGGACAAAATTTCTAGGCACAGCCAAGGGGTGAAGGGTTTTGAGATTAGTGGTATCAGGATCTGCTGTTGTAGATTATGTGGCAATGTTGGCTTAATTGAATGATGACCTCCAACTTTCACTCTTGTAAGAAGTGTGTGAAGTGGACAGGATGAGAATCTACATGGCTGGACTCAGCTGGAAGACCTGGGTATCACAGAGTGAGCGGAAAGTAGACTGGGAGACTAACAGATGGATTCAGGTGGTACTGGTAGTGATGCAGATAGAATAGAATAGAATGCCTTTATTGTCACTAGAGCTGCACAATGAGATACAGAATGCTGTACTGGCCTGCCGTAGTGACAATACCTTCACCTATGGTCACAAGCTGTGCCCAAAAGAATAAGATTGTGTGAGGAATAGGTTCCTCCGAATTGTGGCTTGTCTCCCTATGGATGAGGAGCTTGGCCATTCAGGAGGAGATACGAGTAAAGCCGCTACTCCTCCACAACAGGAGCTGGATGAGGTTGTTTGGGAATCTGACAAGGTTGTCTCATGGACGCCTCCTAGGTGAGGTGTTTTTGCTCCTGGTGGAGACCCAGGAAAGATGTTGGAGAGATGTAGTTTCTGGGATGGCTTTGTAACAACTCAGTGTCTCCATAAGTGCTTAAAGAGTTGGCCTCATGCCCCTGATACCTCAAGACAGATGAGCAGCACAAAATGGATGGATGGATGGCTAATGACAGCAAATGGCTCCAGAAAAGATGCTCTATAATTTCCTTATGTTTTCTAAAGACAAAGACTTGAATCTCATTTCAGTGTTCACAGAGCAACTTTCAAGGACCACAAAATTTGTTTTCAACCTTTTTTTTTCTTAAAAAAAGCAAACAAAAAAACCCCCACCAAAACAAAAAACTTAAACTCTTAAAATAACAAACAAAACAAAAACAAAAACAAAGCAAACAAACAAACAAAAAAAAAAAAACAGTGAAAGGGGAACCCATCAGATGATGCATCTCTAATACAATAAAAGTCTCCATTATGAATTAAGTGGGGAT